TCCCCAGCTGTCCCCCCAGGTGTCCCAGCTGTCCCCCCAGCTGTCCCCAGGTATCCCCAGCTGTCCCCCCAGGTGTCCCAGGTGTCCCCAGGGCCACTCACTGACGATTTTGTCGACGGAGTCGTGGTCGTCGAAGGTGACGAAGGCGAAGCCGCGCTTCTTGCCGCTGCCGCGGTCGGTCATGATCTCGATGACCTCGATCTTGCCGTACTGCCCGAAGTACTCGCGCAGGTGGTGCTCCTCCGTGTCCTCCTTGATGCCGCCCACGAAGATCTTCTTCACCGTCAGGTGCGCGCCGGGCCGCTGCGAGTCCTGGGGACACAGCCAGGGGTGGCAGCGGGACAGGGGACAGGGCCGGGGGTGGCAGTGGGGACAGGGGACACGGCCACCGGGGCTGCCCCGGGGACACCACCGGGAGCAGCAGGCCTGGCCACTGCCACCAGCCCTGTCCCCAGGGTCAATGCTGGGAGCACCTGGCACAGCCACCACACCTGTCCCCAATGTCCCCTCAGTGTCCCCAATGTCCCCAGTGTCCCTCACCTCTCGGGACACGGCCCGTTTGGGCTCCACCACCCTGCCGTGACCCTGCCATGTCCCCAGTGTCCCCCCAGTGTCCCCAGGGTCCCCTCAGTGTCCCCAGTGTCCACAGGGTCCCCAGTGTCCCCTCAGTGTCCCCAGTGTCCCCAGTGTCCCTCACCTCTCTGGACACGGCCCGTTTGGGCTCCACCACCCTGCCATGTCCCCAGTGTCCCCTCAGTGTCCTCAGTGTCCCCAGTGTCCCCAGTGTCCCCTCAGTGTCCCCAGTGTCCCTCACCTCTCTGGACACGGCCCGTTTGGGCTCCACCACCCTGCTGTGACCCTGCCATGTCCCCAGTGTCCCCCCAGTGTCCCCTCAGTGTCCCCAGTGTCCCCAGTGTCCCTCACCTCTCTGGACACGGCCCGTTTGGGCTCCACCACCCTGCCGTCCACCTTGTGTGGCCGCGCGTTCATGGCGGCGTCCACCTCCTCCACCGACGAGTAGGTGACGAAGCCGAAGCCCCGCGAGCGCTTCGTGTTGGGGTCCCGCATCACCTGGGGACACGGGGACACTGAGGGGACAGACACAGGGACACGAGGACAGACACAGGGACACGGGGACACGGGCAGGGATGTGACAAACCCAAACGCCCACGAGCGTTTTGTGTCTGGGGTCCTGTCTCACCTGGGGACAGGGACACAGGGGACAGGGCAGGGACACACGGGACACACACGCAGGTGACACAGGTGACACACGGATCATACGCAGGGAAAGGGACACACGGGACACACACACAGGTGACACAGGTGACACACGGATCATACGCAGGGAAAGGGACACACGGGACACACACGCAGGTGACACAGGTGAGAACACACACACGCAAAGGGTCACACACAGGTCACACACAGAGAAAGGGACACACATGTGGCACACACAGGTGAGAGGACACATGCAAGTGACAGGTGAAAGGTCACACACGTCACACACAAAGAAATACACAGGTGACACGTGAAGGGTCACACGGAGGTCACGCACACAAAAAGGGACACACAGGTGACACACACAGGTGACACACACAGGTGGCACACACAGGTGAGGGGTCACACACACTCGGGGGGCTGTGGCACCCAGGGGCGCAGTCTGGAGGTGCCAGAGGGTGGCCTGGGTTCAGGGGGTCCCAGGGCTGGTTTTGGGGTCCCAGGGCTGATTTTAAAGGTCCCAGGTCAGTTTTGGTGCCCCAGGGCTGGTTTTGGGGTCCCAGGGCTGATTTTNTCAGTTTTGGTGCCCCAGGGCTGGTTTTGGGGTCCCAGGGCTGATTTTAAAGGTCCCAGGTCAGTTTTGGTGCCCCAGGGTTGGTTTTGGTGCTCCAGGGCTGGTTTTGGGGTCCCAGGGCTGATTTCAGGGACCCCAGGGAGGGATTTGAGGATCCCAGGGCCATTTTTGTCATCCCAGCTCCATTTTTAGGGATCCCATGACGTTTTTAAGGGTCTCAGGGCCATTTTCAGGGATCCCAGGGCTGGTTTTAGGGATCACAGTGCCCTTTTAGTGACCCCAGCTCTACTCCAGGAGATCTCAGTCCCATTTCAGGGACCTCAGCTCCATTTTTGGGGACCCCAGCCCTGTTTTTCCTGCTCTCAGTGCCGTTTCCAGGGCCCCCAGCCCCATTTCAGGGCCCCCAGCCCCATTTCAGAGGCCCCCAGCCCCATTTTCCTGTTCTCAGTGCTGTTTCCAGGGCCCCCAGCACCATTTCAGAGGCCCCCAGCCCCATTTTTTTGCTCTCAGTGCCGTTTCCAGGGCCCCCAGCCCCATTTTCCAGCTCTCAGTGCTGTTTCCAGGGCCCCCAGCCCCATTTCAGGCCCCCAGCCCCATTTCAGACGGCCCCCAGCCCTGTTTTTCCTGCTCTCAGTGCCATTTCCAGGGCCCCCAGCCCCATTTTCCTGCTCTCAGTGCCGTTTCCAGGGCCCCCAGCCCCATTT